TTATCCACTCGCATCGGCTGTAATAGGAGCACCACGTGTGTAACGAATCACGAGGAAAGCTAAAGTCTTAGATATATACAGAGCGAGAACGTGTTGACATTCTTAAGATCGATCGATGGGATTATCAGAAGTGTCGAACAATGTTGTATATCGCTCCTCGGTGACGTTAAGTCATTATACTTCTAGACAAAGTCATTATCTCTGTAGTGAAGTTTCATTATCATCGCAGAGTGCATTATCTCGAAGAGAGTCCCGATATACTCAGATCATATTTTAGATTAGAAGAACGCGTGCTCTTCGTAATTGATATCCGATTGATTCATATTTCTTTTGTTTGTTTTTTTTTTTCAAAATCGAGAAAGAGAGAGATAATTAAGTTATTAATCAAGTTACTTTCTTTCGCGATACTGAGCACTTTGGCCTCTAGAAATGAAAGTGATTTTCGGAAGTATTTTTAGGAATACGAAAAAAATATTATAATAAAAAAATTCTCAACAGATACCAGAATAACTAAATTATAAACAGAAAATGGGGTGAAAACATGGGATGAATCTCGCTTTGCGTAGAAAATTGTGCGCCCTTGGTACAGGAGAAGATGAGATGAAATCCTTTTTTCCTTTTCTTTTTCCGAGATAATTAACAATTTGCAATTGTTAATTATCTTGGTATCTGATGGTTGGAGAATTTTTTTTATTATTTTTTTTGTGTCCCTCGCTAAAAATATTTCCGAAAATCACTTTCAATTAGTGGCCACAGTTCTTATAATCGTCCCGGACACTGTCTTGAGAAATTAATTTTTAATCGTATATGACATTCCAGTTTGCAACTTATTGTGACTAATTCGATTTCTTAATAATAGAAACTACGAGTTTCTATTATAGGTAATTCTTAAATAAAAATTTCATGAAAAAAATTTCCGCACAAGTTTGCTGCAAATTATAGATCGTTTAGAGTGGGCGTAACGGCCACTAAAGTCATAGATAAATATTTTATGAGAATCTAGGTACTTCGGTACTTCCTCTGCCCTTTACTGAACTGAAAAACCCCAGAAGTTGTTGACAAAGTGTAGAGCGCGTGTAGGATAAAGAAATTTACAGAGGAATGAATATTTTTAACAGTCGCATTATAACAGAACCGTAACCTTTTCCATAATGAATAATTTGCGTCGGTCGAAGCCTCGTACTCTCGACATGTGCGCCGTACCGTTTAAGTTATTTTAAGTTATTAAGTTGTTAAAGTTATCATGAGAAAAAGTAAAAAAGAAATACCGCAGTATAAAGAAAACCTATTTTCTTAAACTATGTACTTTTCAACGCTATGTAGTCAATATATATAGTTATACCCAGTTCGCTTTGTAATTAGCTACAGATCGCGCAATGGATATTGCAAAAAAAACGAAGAGCTTATCGCGTTTTTTGGAGGAATATTAGCAGTATTTAAGAAAACATTAAGCATAGTCTCATATCTAAAGCGGACCAATAATTATATGTATGTCAAATAGAGAAAAACAGAAAGAGAAAGAGAGAGAGAGAGAGAGAGAGAGAGAGAGAGAGAGGAGGGGAAGGCGGTAGAATTTTAACTTCAAATATACCGCAGTCGCGTAAACATTATTTAATGACGCGTTTGACATGCACGTGGATAAATTATAAATCGACTATTGTATAAATCATTGTTGAGTATGCTTGATGAAAGCTCACAAGTTGTAACGAAATATAATATTGAATTCGAGTAGTTCATAACATTACAAATTAAAAAATTTATAACTTTGTTAAAAATAAACGAAATTAAAATTTAAAAATTAAAAAAGGGTTCAAAGCTTAATTTTTATTTTCGAAAGATCATTCACGTCTTTTAAGTTTGTGTGAGTTTGATAATTTTTACATATAGAAAACTATACGAGTTGTAATGAACAAAAGAAAATTTTCTTCTTGTTTTGTAGTCCTATTTTGTACTTCAAAAACATTTTTTTTAATTTTCAACTTTTTAATATGAAAGCTTAAAGTTTTTCCTTACAAAATTGTTTTTTTAAGAATGTTCTTAAGATGTTTTTGTTATTAAGTTATCGTGGATTGAATAAAAGGAACATTTTGGCTTTGATTGCTAATTATTCAAAAGCAAATTCTTAAAGCTGAGATTTTGTCCTATCAAATGATATAATTGCCAAATTTTTCTTAAAAGCGTGTAGACAAATAGCGCTATTAATTTTTGTGTCTCCACTCCAATAAGTAGATTATTGTTATTTATTTCGTGCGTCATTCAGTTGATTTAACAACATTATGAATTGGATTATTGACATTCACGATTAAAGCTTCTGTATCTCATCGGCGTAACGTTGTATATAGATAGTCGGAATTTATATTACGTCGAATGTACATTTGTGTGTGTGTGTGTG